GCTAACTAACTAAAAGCAATAGATGACATACATTATTATTGAAAACACTTTCAGTAATATTTTAGACCCTAGTATGAATATCATTAGCAATAATGGGATTATTCTAGATATTACTCCATCTATTCTGAATCACTACTATTTTACTGCAGGCCTCCTTTTCAAGCTCAGAGTTAAATTCATTATGTACTTTATCTAGCAGGTCTCTTAATAGATGATACATAACATGGTCTGCAGACCACATAGAGATGAGAAAATCATGTGTGCGGTTCCCGGAAGTCACTATTTTTAAGGTTTTACAATGTATCAGACGACATGGTCTGACATCGCACACACAATAATTCATTCCAATTCATAGTAGAAGAGACATATAACTTCACAAACCAGTGTCAAGAGGTTTTAGCATTCTGCACTGTGTCTGTCATCAAAGCCTCTTGATTTCAGAATGGCTGACCAATCAATGATCTGACTTTCCCAATGATATTGCTTTATATACAATAAATCACAGGATATAAAATACAACTGAAAAAATAAGGAGGTGTGGCTAATTCAGTCTGCAAATCGTTTCCATCGGAACAGCATGCCAGAATGTTATGAAATTCTTGACTAGAAAGACTAGCATTAGCAAGATCCTCCTGTGACAAGGACTATAACTTCATTACAATAATTATTCTATGCTTTCCATCTATTATATATGTTACGGCCAAAACCCGAAGTCGGCCGGCCAAATTGCGAAACAGAATATATCACCTCACAATGACAGATCTTTTCTTGATTTCGGGGATTGGCCAGCCAGTTCACGAAATGGCATGGGGCGATCGGCCAAAGTCAGAAGAAAAAGGTCATGAGCAAATTTTGGGTGTTTGTATACTGTAATGCTAATGATAATCACATTATAGCTGTCACAGAGGAGTTTTCCGACGAATCCGCCGCTCTTAGGTGCCTAGGATCATCCTTCGGAACAAAGGCCAAGGAGGTACGGTTCAAATGATTGATGTAAAATTGGATTTATGGATAGTTGAACAGTATTTTGTCACTGAGCACCACTAATGGCACTGAGGCACCTTCTAATGGCACTAAGCACCACTCTGTGCCATTAGAAGTTTGAGTTAGGAGAAATTATTCGAAAAATTGTAGTTGCTGTGCTTGGAAAGCGTGCACAAATTCTTGAAACTGAGTTTGATCCATAGTATAACAAAAAAAAAAAAAAGAAAGAAAAGAAAGGGCTTACCTATCCGGGGAAAGCACACTCACCCGCAATCGAAACTATTCAGTTGGCGTGCCTGTAAACAATAACGCATTGCCAGATTCGTCATTCGATGCATGGATGCCAGATACACTGAAAATATAACACACTGCCATATGCATGCCGTCATCCCACCGGAATCAACAGATGTGCCCCCTCCCGAACAGTCTTACTTCAGCCCATCGAAGATTGGCGAGGAAGTTCCAGGCATTTCGGGAAGTGGCCGGCCATAGTCGCATTCCAGTAGCATATTCATTTCCAGTAGATCGGACATTGGCCACACTCCCCGGCAAAATGTGCGAAATGGCCGGCCAATTCAGGAACTGGCCGAACTTCAGGCTTTGGCCATAACATATATATGTAATAGAGCTTCTCATAATTTATAATAAATATGAAGTCATCAGCGCAACTTGCCACCAGTTACCACAGATCCTCACTGACATAGGATAAAATATAACAACTATAAAAGAATTCTGTTTTTGTCACTGGCAAAGATCTCCTTGTTCCTTAATGCCAGTCTCTCATTGTTTTGAAAGTCCATATTCTTCAGATTTTTTCTCTTATTCTGGTTTCACTGCAAGTGATGCTGAACAATCAGTATGGTTCAGTTAGAAGGAGTGGATTTAGAAATCACCAAAAGCTGATGATTTAGTGAAAGATTCAAATATTAAAGATAATGGCCAAAATATTTATGATATGGTTAAATTGAAGAAAATAACAGATATTCATAAAATTAGAACTTTTTAATGTAAATTAAACTATTTCCCAAAGAAATCAGGGAAAAATTTTTCACTAAAAAAATTCACTTACCAAATTAAGATTAAACAGGATTAATAAAATTGCAAATATCATTTAAAATGTCTGAAAACACTTGTGTTTTACGACACTTCCGTCGGCATATAAACTCAAATAAGAATTTCGTTTGTTACACTCAGTGCCGCATTGACATTTATTTCATCATTTCACAACATCTCATAACATAGTTCAATAGTTTGCATAAGAAAATCAGTATCAATAAAATTACAGTTAACACAGAAATGTTCAAACCATGATAGTTAACACAGAAATGTTCAAACCAGCCTTGTTATTATTCAGTGTTATATACTCTTAAACAGTCTCAGTATATTATAGTGCCATCAATAATATTTTCTTCAATAACTTTAAGCAAAGTTCTGGCAGAGTGGTAAGGCACAGCATCTAAAACACACTCTTTTGTTTCTCGGCAAATCCTGCTGTACACCAACTGGGACAGAAGGATTTTCCCCTCCAACATGAAAACAAACTTTCCTCAGCTTGAACAATATTACCAGTGGCACCTATTTTAACCAATGGTCTAGATATTAATGCATGGCCACAGACTTTCCTTATGTAACTGTTGCAATTAACAACACTGCAATGATTCATATCAAGTTGATGCTGACCACATTAAAGAAAACTTAATTCTAAACACAATGCATAAATAAAAAGATCTGCCATTTAAGAAACTGATTCTGAAAGATTTTTGATTTTGAGAATGTAATCCTCTCCCCCCCCCTTTTTTTAAATTTTTTTATCAGCATGTCATATTTTCACATTTCCAATTCAATCATTCTTTCGAATTGAAGTAGAGCTTCATTTTATGTTTTTTTGTGCACTCTCAGAAAGAATAATTCCTGAAGATATTGCATGGAAGACATTTCATCATTAAGTAAGTCCAAAATTTTTTATCCATGGCAAATAAAATAATAATAAAAACACAAGTTACCATTACATCTTTAGAATTTGTATTCTCATTGCCTCTTTTATGTTTTAAAAAAAGTAAAAATTCTAATGACTTTAAAAATAAATATTGGTGGGTTAGAGTAGATTTAAGGGTGCCCCTTGGATTATCACTAAGTTATGTTTTCATTTATGGTAACATATGAAAACATATTAAACATTCTGGTCTATTATGACATAAATGGTTGCATGATTGCGGTGAATTTGAATGAGGTTTGGAAAGGCTTGTTTGTGCGCCAGATTTTGGATAAGAAGTACATTGTTATTTTGTGGTTTACACGATAAAATGACTGAATGTGGTAAGATTAATTTGAAGTTTCTGAACAATTTGGAATGAAAGGGAAAAAAGCATTAATTGACTGGTGTGTAAATGAAAGTTTAGATAGTAGTCATAAGTGTTTTGTTTGTAGGAAGGAAATGCATACAGTCAAATGTCGGAGGATACCGACACTACGGAGGATATTTTTTACTCTTATTTTTTTTTTATTTATGTGGCAATGCCAGTATACAGATTCTAGTTCGGATAATTTTAGGAAGTTTTTGGATGCTGTTAAGGAATTTTGTTTGACTGAAGATACAGAAATTTGCAAATAAGGTAAATGAATATTTTCTTTGTGTAGTGCTAAGATGAATTTCCTTTTTCATGTTATTTCATTGTTTGATTTAAAATGTAGTTTATTGAGATTATATATATTTTGTTGGCTGCTCCTTCGATTTTTGAAATGAATATAGATCGATGTGTACATGGACAAAGTGAAAGGAGTTCGCAATGCCTAGTTTGTGCAATTTTTTTATGTTTTTTTTAAATGAAAATAGGTCGATGTGTACATGTATACTTTGTGTAAGGCGATTTTTGATGCGAAAATCGCCGTTACACAAAGCCAAAATAACAAGTCAAAGAATTGCACAAACTCGGTGTCTGTGTACCGCCAAAAATCGCCAAGGGGCACCTGTAAATATATTTTTACCTACTGGTGACTTCATATGAACTAATCTTTTGGCAAGTTTATCAAAACATTTCACGATGATTCTATCCTGATAACAGAAGAGTCCAAATTATCTCATAAATAATTATATGCTTCTATAACTTCCTTGTCAAAAGGTAGATCTTCCCGATATTCATTCTAACTACATTCTAACTAAAGTCACTGTTGAACGTTTTCTGGTGTTCTTTCATTCTGCATATTTTGCACCAAAACTTCTTTACAGTTCAAACATTCTACTGTAACTCTCTATTAATTTTTTCTGTATAGAAAACCTTGAGTCTATTGGCCTATCCCTTCAGAATATTAGCATTTAATAAACTGTATTCATCCCCCCTTAATAAAACATGAAACGATCTCTCAGACTGTTAGATATGTAAGACAATCTGCAATTTAGTAGTCAGCTTGAGCTTCAGTAACACAGTTAATTAGACTGGCACATTTACAAGAATATAGCAATGATGATTAATTTTTTATTTATTTTTTCATTTACTTTTTTATTTATTTTTTAATATTAAAGGTTAACTTAAAAAATAGTTTTGTAAAAATACTATGCCATAAATACACAAAAACTGAATAAACTTAATCTTTTTCCTATATTAGAATTGTACATAGATTAAATTATCAATTTTATTTTTAATGTATACACAAATTAAAATATATATAAATTTTACTTTTTAAAAACAATTTAATAAAAATCTTAAAAATAATTTAATCCAACGTTTTGGATGTTTTTATTAGTTTTTGCTAGCTATTGCCATTTTCTGTTTGTTTTAAGCATTTAGTGCCACTGGCAAGACATAAATTACTTTCTGCTAGTACAAAGTCAGTCTTAAATTAGATGTAAAATGTTTTCTTTACATATAGTAATTTTTCTTATATTGTTACAAGACTGCAAATATTTCAGTCAGTTTTGGGTAATTTGGTCAAAACCATAATAAATATAATTGTTTTCACCATCATGTCCAAAATTCTACCAATCCCGAATACTCGTAAATACTGAATCTGTCACATACCTGATTCTGTCACAGCGGAAGTCCTCCATGTAGAAAACTTTTCAGAAATTATTTTGGAAAGCAAATCACGTAAGTGTTTATGAAAGTCATCAGGAAACAAAGAAGATATGTTTTCAGGTGAAGAATAACCATGAAAAAGAACAAATTTGATAAAGCTGCTTAAAGCTATGAAGAGCTGAAATTTAAAACATTGTCAATATTAAATGAAAACGTATAATTTATTACATTAAAATTACATTTGTATAATGCATAGTAAAAACTGTTCAGAAATCAGGCATAATGATGAATTCTTCGATTTAAAAAAATGGTAACTTAAATACATGCAATTTACTTTTAATCATTTAATAAAGAATAGTAAAATCATCGGTACTTTTCCATTTCGACAGCACAAATCTCGCCAAGTAGACTTCATTGGCGACAACACACAGTATGCATATAAAAAATGTTAACAAATGTTAGTTCTAAGAATATTTTACTTTAGAGGCACAAACTTTTTAATATTGTTTAAAATTTTTTTCAAATGGGTCTTTCAATTCACCTTCTCTAAATAAATTCCGAGAGATAACATTTCAGATGATGACATGCCATTTCTTCTGTGTTTCTTATTTCGCCTTCTGGCTCTATTTCATAATCTTTTAATTGTTTGTGAGTGCATTCCAGTTTCCAGAATTCTTAATCTTTGAAATGTTTGAAACTTTCCTCTTCCAATTTTTCAATGCAGTATCATTTCCACGAATTTAAATATATTATAGTTCATTTTTCGATATTTTTTTAAATTGCTTCTTACATAATGTTCATGGATTGGTTTCACAGTTTCACAGGGAAACATTAGTTTGTTTCACATCAAGCTCCACCAAAGATCCATTGCTAAAGTAGAATCCATCTTGCATTGTTTTTGCGGTTTGTAAACATACTTCCATCCACTTCAACGATCATATCAGGTTCTCCTATTTTCCATTGTTGATGTTTAAGCAAAGAATCCACACAAACCTTGCACATGTAGTTATTCCAGATCACAATTGTTCTGTGATCGATTTGCACACCATCTAACTGAAGTTAATTCTTCACTCCAACCATAAGTATGTAAGGATCTTAAGTTTTACTAACGTTTATTTTATTTTAAATCTTTACTATCACTTCTTATTTTCTACTTCCGGCCAGAATTATAAGCGTGAAGGAGTTTATGCAAAGTTGTCTGGCGAACGCCAAGTATTTAAGTGTGGCCTTTTTGCCAAGCAGAAGAGAGGAAGCCGTGAGTTCGAAGCAGGCCGCTTACCTTAGAAGTTACGCAGTTGCTACTTTGCCTTCCAGGCCAGAGGTTTTAATCCTCTTGATAAATTAAACGTATTGTAGTGTTCACAGTCTCTGTGCTACATACGCTTTCTGTTATTATAAGGCCAATCTTATTCTAAAGTTAAATTAGAGTTTAGTTTTATTTTTGATATCTTTTAAGTTAGACCCCGAGTGGAGGGTCATTGTATTCCGAAGTACGGAAGTCATTGTATATAAAGAAAAAATAAAGGGTTTTGTATACCCTTCGTCTGTATCCTGTCTACTTACTACAATTAGTGAACATAGCTTTAGTAAGCTCTCTGTTCTAGTCAGGTCATTGTATGTTTCCGAAGAAGGTTAGAAGAAACATTGAACCTGATAGTGGCGCCCGACGAAGAATAACCATGGCTGAGTTTCAAGAAGAACCTGTGCTGCCTGCAGAAACAGCCTCAGAATCCAGAAATGCCAGCTGCCGCCCTGGAAGGATTTGGGTTACATTGTCCAGACCATGCGCGCTTCGATGAAACCAGAAGCAACGCTTTAATGGAAACTCACCGGTAACCAATTTTTTTTGGAAAAATTGGATGACCACTTTCATGCTCTACCCAGTGCACATGAGTTTCCAAAAGTTACCTTAGCTACCAGCGCTTTGAGGGGCCAAGCGCTTAATTGGTTCAAATGTATAGGCAAGAAGTCCTCTTGGGTCAAGCAGGGAACTCCCACCTATACTTACTAAAAATTTCAAGACTGCCCTTACTAAAAGCCTTCCCTGTTGTAAGTAAGGGATCGTGCGAAATTAGAAACAGAACTTTTCAGTATATATCAACAAAGAATGGAAAACATCTCGAGTTTTATTTTAAGAAAAATTCACGTTTTCAAGCTCTTGTATGGAAACCGTCCGGATCCTGAAATAATTCAAGTGATTTTGCCGAGGTTACTACCCCAAGTGCAAGACTTTATTGAATTGAGAATCCGACTACACTGGAAAAATTATTTGAGCTAGCAATCCCCTCCAGTTTTGAAAGTAGAAGAACGGCGGACGTCGAAAGAAGACGCCAATATCAACAGTGAAACCAATTTGGTACGCCAAGACTACAGCAAACTCAAGCACATGGCTACGGAGAAAAAGCGAATCAGTGGGCAAGGAAACCCGAGCATTCAAAAAACCGCCGGCGAACGTCGACATTTTCAATAGCAACCCAGGAAAAAAGTCTCAAGGCCAGTGGAGAAAAGAGGAAAGCACCGAAAGGAAAAATAATTTAATAAACTAAAACGGATTTCTGCTGACGAGAAGGTGCGTAAATCCGAAGGCCACGAAAACCCCTCTTCCTACAAGTTAAATACAGTAATGGTGAAAAATTTACTCTTCCGAAGATTGAAGTCTTGGTAAATAATATCCCGGCCACCGCACTCCTGGATACCGGCGCGCAGTGTTCCTGTGTGGCAGAAGTCTTTTTTTTAGAAAGTATTTTCGCAAATACCGCATATATAATGCGGATAATACAACAGTATTAGCGGCGCAAGGAGAACAATGTAAGTGCGTAGGTAAAGTACCTTTGTACATCCGTATCAAGGACGAACAAGTAAAGGTGATGTTTTTTATAGTAAAGAATTTGCAAGCACACTTAATACTAGGAATAGACTTTCTTTCAGACGCACAAGCTACACTGGATTTTAATGAAGCGTCTCTTAAGCTGACGATGAAACCAGTGCGTGTAGAAAAGGTTGAACCGCCAAGGTTAAATCTCGACCACCTGCCTAATGACGAGCAAGATAGAATCCGACAAGTGGTAAGTGAATTTGCTTCCTTATTTAGTGATATTCCAGGATTTACCCAGGTTACTAACCATAGTATTGACACCGGAGATGCATTGCCGGTTTCGTCAAAAACCATACCGGTATGATAAGAATAAGGAAAAAATTATAGAATGGCATATTACCGATATGCTACGTAAAAAGATCGTAACGCCTATCTCAAGTAGTTATGCTAGTCCGGTGGTTTTATGTAAGAAAAAATAATGATTATCCTTTGGAGCATCCAAAAAGGTGGAGATTCGCTATTGATTACCGTAAATTAAACTTCCATAACGAAATATCCGGTATATCCGTTACCGATTATATAGAAGAAATTTTAAGGAACATAAAATCAACCAAATTTATATGACAACTTTAGACTTAACGAATGGTTATTTCAAATAGGGATCAGGCCTGAGGACATGCCTAAGACTGCTTTTATAACCAAGTCTGGCACTTATGCATTTTTGCGAATGCCGTTTTGGCCTTTCAGGCGCCCCAGGCAACATTTCAGCGATGCATGGACATTGTGTTAAGACCTGTTCTCGGAAAGTCCACATTTATCTATTTAGACGATATCATTATTACTAGTGATAATCTAGACCAACATGTACAGGATTTAAGACAGGTGTTTTCTTTATTAAATGAGGCCGGTCTAAAAGTTAATGTCGAAAAGTGCAAATTTGCAGCCCCTGAATTAAAATATTTAGGTTACAAAATATCGCAAAAAGGGATCGAGACAGATGAATCAAAATAATCGCTGTACAAAAGTATCCGACTCCAAACACGGCAAAGAAGCTCTCTTCTTTTCTAGGACTTTGTTCATATTATAGGTCCTTTATAAAAGATTTTGCGGCTATCGCTGAGCCATTGTTAAAATTAAAAAGGAAAAAGGCAAGATTCTCGTGGACGGCCGAAGCCAATAGTGCTTTCCAAAAATTAAAACAAGCATTAACGCAAGCCCCTGTGTTGAAATTTCCTGAAAAGGATGAAAATTTAGAAATTTCAGCGGAATGCTTCGGATTATGCGGTAGGGAGCGGTACTTTCGCAAAATCAGCAGCCAGTGGCATTTTTTAGCCGAACTTTAAATCAAACACAAAGAAACTATTCCGCGACCGAGAGAGAGGCACTTGCAGTTCTGTTAGCAGTGCAAAAACTCCGAGTCTATTTGGAAAGGCGCCGATAACAGTATATTCTGATCATGCGGCGGTAACTAGATTGTACTCTGGAAAAAATTTATCCCCAAGGTTAATAAGATGGGCACTCAAGCTGCAAGAATATAATCTAGTAATCAAGCATACCCCCGGAAAGGAAAATATCGTTGCAGATGCCCTGTCACGAATTAAATTAGACGAACAGGGTAATACCGTAAAAATTGCAATGCTGACAGCGTGTACAATAAATTCCCAAGAAACTGTAATAACCGAACTGGGTAAGGATCCTGAGTTTGGAAGTATTTATGAGTATTTGAAGGATCCTGAAAATTTTAGCCACCAAGATATTGTGGCGATAAGAAATAGGGCGGCCCATTACGAACTAATAGATGGTCTCTATTATTTTATACAAAAACTACGAATTCCAACAACGAATTTTCGACCTGTTATCCCAGCTAGTCTTAGATTAAATATCCTGCAAGAGCTCCATGACAGCCCTTTAGCTTCTCATGCTGGTATTCGAAAAACTATCCAACGCGTACGCGAGGCAGTCTACTTTCCTGAACTGCAAAAGTTAACAAGGGCGTATGTCCAGTCCTGCCCAACATGTCAAGCCGTTAATTATATTAATTTCCGCCCGGCCGGGTTTCTAAATAGTATTAAATCCGAATTTCCAAATGAAATAATCGGCATCGATTTATTGGGCCCTTCCTCCCAAAAAGTCAGTTAAACAAAAGTCGCTATCTCCTTGTATAGTTGATCATTTTAGTAATGGACCGAAATTGTTCCCTTAAAACGAGCCTCCGCGAAATTAGTTACCGATTCTATTTTAAATAAATATATTTTAAAATACGGGGCGCCCCTAAAAGCCAATCTTATTCTAAAGTTAAATTAGAGTTTAGTTTTATTTTGATATCTTTTAAGTTAGACCCCGAGTGGAGGGTCATTGTATTC